TTTTAATAAAAGTAAATTAAATATTATTTTTCAATTTAACTAAAATAAATCAAAATATTAATTTATTATTTGTTATTTTTAAAAATAAATAAAATGAATCAATCTCACATCTTTTTTTAAATCTAACTAAAATGCTTCAAGAATATTAATTAATTAATAAATTACTCCCTATTTTTAATATGTCAAAATAAATTGAGCATTATTTTTATTCTAATTGAGCATAAATTAATTCATTACGCACTATTTTGAAAATTAAAATATATTCAGTAAGTAAGTAAGCAATCATGGAAGTAAGTATATTGATTTGTATATTTATCTTAATCTAACTAAAATGCTTCAAGAATATTTATTAATTAATTACTCCCTATTTTTAATTGAAAAATAAATTAAATATGGATTTATTTTTTAATCTAACTAAAATTTTTAAAGAATATGAATGAATGACTTCCTATTTTAAATGAGAAAACAAATTCATCAGGAACCTTTAATCTTACTGAAATTCTTCAATCAAATAAATAAATGAATTACTACCTATTTTTAAAATTAAATTTAAATTGAGCATGCATTTATAAATCTAAATAAAATAGTTTGAAGAATGTAAATTAAAATAATAAATAAATTACCAACTATTTAGAATATTAAAATAAATCAATAAATAAATAAATAAGTTCCCATGTTTATTTAAATCAAAAAGAAAGCGATGATTTATTCTTTAATAAATAATTAATTAATTAATGATTACATCCTATTTTTAATTAAAAGATAAATAATTATTTTTTATTCTGAGTGAGTAGATTGATTAATTAAAATGTATAAAATTAGCTAATAATTTACAGACTATTTTAAATTTAAAATGATTAAATCAACATTAAATCAGAATTATTCCTTCAAAATGTTACTATCTATTTATTTATTTGATTTATTAATTAATTAATGAATGAAATATAAATAGATAATATAGTTAAAATTAATGAATAATAATAAAATAAAATATTACCCTCTAATTATAAAGATTAAAAGATGGTGATACAATCTCCAATAATTAATTAAAAAAGTATATGTTGCACTGAAATGATAAGTTTGTTTTTTATGATTTTGTGTTGGCAAATAAATAAATATATTTATGCTAATTACTTTTTCCTATTATTTATTAATATTAAAATATTTATAGATTCTTAAAACAAACTATTTCAAAAATAAATTAAAAAATTATGTTTTAAAACTAAATTAAAAAAAGAAAATTATTTAATTTTTTATAGAATTTGTTGCTTGCTTGCTGGCTGGCTAGTTTGCTTATTATATTATTCTTTTTTTAAATTAAATTTCTCATAAAAATAAAATTTAAGATATTGTTTGAAGGTTACTGACTCAAAAATAATTTGGAATCATGAAATAATTTCTATTTTTTATATTTAAATTGACAAGATATTAATTCTTAAAAATAGTCTTACCTAAGTAATTAATAAAAATCTATCTAATAAAAATATATTAATTTAGCAAGCAATGAAGAAAGATATCAATCAACTTACCTAGCATTAATTAATATTCAAGTTATTTCTAACTTTTAACATCCATTAAATATAAAATGAAGGAAATTAATAGAAAATTTTGGAAAATATGTTTGTTTTTTCTATTTTTCTATTTTTCGATTTATTCTTAAAAATTCAATATATTTGTTTGTTTTTTTGTTTGATTACTCTATAATAAACTAGTTTTTATGTTTCATTTTTGGCTTGTTGTGTAAAAATTAATTGAATTTAAATTAACTAAAACAAAATAAATTTGTATTAAATTAATTTAAATTAAATTAAATATGAACTTAACCATTTAGTTAATTTTCGAAGTGTAGAAAATTTTAATTTATTACTTGTTTTAAGCTTTTTGCAATTGAATTTACTTTTCTTGTTCTTGCTTTTGCTTTTTTAAAGCTTCTTCCTTAATTATTTAATATTAAGATAAAGTAATAAATTATTTGTAATAATTTTTATTGCTTTATAAAAAACTTACTTCCTTTTTTTTAATTTCCTATTAAGAAACGATAGGTTAAAATGAATTAAAATTCTAAATATTCTGCTTTTAATTCGATTATGCTTTCAAATCATTTTCTAATATTTTTTGAGTCTGCTTTAATTTTTCTATTTCTTATTTTAGTGAGATAATAGTTTGATTTGACTCAACTGTTGTTGCTTCCAACTAAACATTTTGATTTCTAAGTGCTTTTAATTCATTTTCTAATTGCTTTTGAATATCTTTAAATGATTTAATTTGTTATTCTAATTAGAAATTTGATTGGCGTAACTGAGAGATTATTGCATCCTATAAAATATATTGAAAACATTATTAAATTACACTAATTAAAATGACAATAAGTTAGAATTGATTGAACCTGTCCTTGCTGTTGTTTAAACACCTCTTTGATGAAGTCCTATTCATTTTTACTTTAAAATATTAAGAATTAATTAATAATTTATTGGAATTTAGTTAATTAGTTATTTAGTTACAGAATAGGGTAAAATTTCTGTGAAGAATTTTAAACAAATTCAATGTCTTTTTAGAATTTGCGAATGATTTCCTAAGTATTTTGATCATGGTCATCCATAAATTCAATAAATTTCTAATCTAGTTAAAATTCAAATGAAATAATTCCTTTTAATATAATTAAAACATCTTTTATCGATAACCTATCTTCTGGCTTGAATTAAGTTAATCCGTCAATTATGAACTTAAGTTGATTTTTGTAAGTGAATTGCTAAAATTCTATGCTGTAATTCAATGGTTAATACTTCTTGAAAATTAATTCGTTTTTGAAATCCTAAACCATAAGGTAAATTAGATAACCTTTTATTAGTAAACAATTAATAAAATTGAATATCTAACTATATATCTACAGTAAACTTTCACTATTTTGGATATGCGTATATTTTATGGCTCTCTCAATATTTTGGGTATTATGTCTTTTTAAATGTTGGTAATAAACTTACTCCCTCCAGTACCCAACATAGAGAGAGTTTACTGTATATATAAATCAATTAATTAGTCAATCAAGCTAACTAACTAAATAAATAGGTAAATAACTAAGATTATTAATTACCTAATGAGAAACATTCACTCTATTTTAATAAATAAAGCAAGTTAAAATTTTTGTTTATATTTTAACTAATTTACCTTAATAGTTGGCTTTGTGCTTATTTTTAATCCTAGTTCTTGGTATTTATCTTAATAATCTTTAAATCCCTATGGATCATAACACTCTGGAGCTTAGAATAGCAAATTTCCTTACTAAATTAAGAATAATTTCAGAAAATAGGCTTTATAAAAGAAATATAAAGAATTGCATATTGGTTCAATCCATATCCAGATGTTTTTGTGAGATTATCTGCCAATCCTAAATCAGCTATAAATATTAGGTTTGTTAGTCAGTTAGTTAATAATTAAGACAAAGTAAATTAATTCTTTATTGAATTTTTATATGAAAAAACTTACAAACTACAGCATTTCCATTATAGTCAATGAGTATATTATCCATTTTAAGATCATTGGAAATACATTTCTAGGAATGCATGTATAAAAGACCTTCAGCAATATCTTTGGCATACTTGATTGCAGATAATTCATTTAATCTTTTGTTTGGACACTTATCAATGAGTTCAAGTAGAGTTCCTATAAATAATTTTTTTTTAGCAATCTCATAAATTATGGGAAGCTTTTTACCTTAACATTCACTCAAAATTAAGTATTTAAACTCCTTCCCTTCAATTACTTTTAGCAAGTTGACCACATATGAAGAGCCTTTACACTTTTCGAGCATATTTATTTCTTATTGTGCTTAGTCAAATGTTTCTTAGAAGATTTTCCCCTAAGAATCTTTGACATGTAGTCCTTTGATTGCAAATCTTCTGTTTGTGGATAACTCTTTTGCTAATAAGACCCAACCTTGCTTTCCCGATCCTAAGTACTTAAAATCAGAGAATCCTTTCTGAGATAATTCATCCTTGATAATATTATAAATCAAACTTTAAGTAGGATCTAGCTAAGGTTCTTAGATATCTGAAACTTTTATGAATAGTTAAAATAATGATAATTAAGAAAATGCGAGACTATTTAGTAAATTTTTTATGAAAATGATAATAAATTATAAAAAAATAGAATTAAATTCAATAATTATTAAAATTGGAGATGCGAAAAATATTTTACTCATTTGTTATGGCTTATCTAACATCTGGATACCTTTGCTTTTATACATTTCGTTGATCTTCTACCTATTTTAAATATGAGAAAATAATTTCTTATTAATAATATCAGATTCTTATGGTCCTTGTAATTATAATCCTCCAAGACCCTGAGAGGGTCCATCTGATTGTGGAATCTAATATTGCTAGGATTTCTATTGCTTCTTTATTGACTGATTACAACCCATTAATTTACTTTTTTGTAATAATATTTAGTTTGATTAATTAATTATTATAAACAAAAATCAAATTTCTTCAGTATTTATTGTTGCTCTTTCTTTAAATTTGTATCGATTTCAATTAGAATATTGAATCAAATTTTCTGAAAGATATTCAAATAAGAAAGCATTGTGAAAATAAATAATTCTGATTAAAAAACTAATAAAATAAACAAAAATGAAATAAATTCCTTTCTTGCATAAAATATTATTTTTTAACAATTTAAATATTTTACTCATTTATTTTTTAAACGAAATTATTAAAATTAAAAACTATTAAATTAGAGTGCTCTCTCACATACTTAGGCGCATAATTTATCATGAAAAAAATTTTAAAAATTTTATTGAATATATTTTTTTTTTCTCACCTAATGGAGCAGTAGATTCCGAATTCATATATTTATATATATTTATAGATACTAATTTAATAATAAAGGGCTTAAAATATTTAGGCGCTATGCGCACTTGAGCAAGCTTATACTTAATTACCAAAAAGAATACAAAATATAAATTTAAATTTTTATATTAGAATAACATATAATTAAATCATTTGATTAAGAACAGAAAGACAACAACTACAACTGCAAATAAAAATGTATTAGACAGACATAAAAATAAATACATAGGTAGATAAATTTAAGATATAATTGCTATTAAAATTAATAAATATGAGTAATTACTTTTAATCATTCTAACATTTTGGCAATTTTGTAATATAAAATATTCCTTTTTTAAATTGATTTGACTTTACATTTTATAAAGGAATTGTTCTGCTTTATTCTTCTAAATTCTACTTGATCTCTGATCTTTATTATTCCAAGTAAAATATGTTGAATGTCTTGTATAATGTCTTTAATGCTAAGTAGAGTTATTAAAAATTACATTTAGAGGCAAATATAAATATTATTTGCTTACATTATTTAGTGGATTTCTCTTGACTTTTTTATAATTAATAGGCATTTTTTATATGCTTTAAGTAAATCCTTTATATAAGCGTACTTTATCTTCTTTGCTAATCTGCGTTTATACTATTTTGATATTTTAAAATAAAAAACTAGATTTCAAGAATGTTCTTATCACTTTTAGATAAGCTAATAATTCTTTGCTAAATCTAATTGCTTATGAGGGACATTTATTTGGGCTATTTTATTGATTATGCATTTATCTGATCAAGTATATAAATTCTTAATAAGATTTAATCTGACCTAGCGGTCTATCAGCTATTTCTAAAACTATTCTTCTAAATTCAAAATGTTCAATGAAGTATTTAGTATGATTGAATAATAGTTCTGCAATTTTTAATAACACTTTTAGACTTTTTAATGAATAATTGTTTAAAATTTAGATTTAAAATAAATAAATGCATTTAATACTCATTAATAATTCACTTGATCAAAAGTACTTCTTCCTTTTGGTTTCTTCAAGCTTTTTGTATAACTACGGCTTCTTATTTACTTAAAGATATTTCAGTAATCTATTACGAGATATCTTAGCTTTTAAACTTATTATGTAATATAAAATAACTATTTATAGATTCTAAGTTTTCTATTTAAGAAGACCATTGAATATTATATTAATCTCTTCATATGAATTTTAATAATACTTATTGTTTATTCACAACTAATTAATTAATCAATCAACTAATCAATCCTTATTATCTTAACTTAAATGAAAAAATTAAAGAGATAATTAAGACATTGTATATATATATTATTTATTGTTTAGCCTTTATAAATATCAAAAAGATGTACTTTTAGTTCACTATTTCTTGTATTTAATTCATAAATTTAATGAATTGACTTAGAAGGAGCTTCATATTCTAATTAATGTATTATCATATATTTTAAAATGGAAAGACAGATGTTTTTTATATATTTAATAATCAAATAATTTTTTTTTCATAAAGCTATTCCTTCATTATTTATTTCAAAACTGAAATTTTACTTTCAAAGCTATTCTTTTTTTCTAGATTTTTATTAAAATATTTAAATAAATAATATAAATAAACAAAAATGTTTTTTTATTTATTTATTGTATCAAATAAAAATTTAAAACTTAAAAATACTTTAAATTATTTTTACTAAGCTTGGTTAAAATATTTAGGCGCTATGCGCACTTGAGCAAGCTTATACTTAATTACCAAAAAGAATACAAAATATAAATTTAAATTTTTATATTAGAATAACATATAATTAAATCATTTGATTAAGAACAGAAAGACAACAACTACAACTGCAAATAAAAATGTATTAGACAGACATAAAAATAAATACATAGGTAGATAAATTTAAGATATAATTGCTATTAAAATTAATAAATATGAGTAATTACTTTTAATCATTCTAACATTTTGGCAATTTTGTAATATAAAATATTCCTTTTTTAAATTGATTTGACTTTACATTTTATAAAGAAACTATTCTGCTTTATTCTTCTAAATTCTACTTGATCTCTGATCTTTATTATTCCAAGTAAAATATGTTGAATGTCTTGTATAATGTCTTTAATGCTAAGTAGAGTTATTAAAAATTACATTTAGTGGCAAATATAGAAATTATTTACTTACATTTTTTAGTGGATTTCTC